ACCTTTCCTGCTGACCCCAGGTCTGTCCTGCCTCCACCCTCCAGCTACCCCATTTTTTTTCTTTCTATTTCTCTCTTCTCTTTTCTTTGTTCCCCCTACCAATCCCCATACCCCACCCCCTTCCTGTCAGCCCTCGCGATGCCACTAAGACTAGAGCATCCCTGGCTCAGGCACACACTGCCCCTTCCCCTCCCACCACTCAACCAGCTGCTGAACAGAGGGAAGCAAGCCTGCACCACTCCCCATCTGACACCTCAGCCTATCTAGTGAGGGGCGGTGAATGTTCCCACACCACTGGACCAACGTGAGGGAGTGTCCGCCCAGTTTGCCCTCAGCCACTTCTCCAAACCAGTGTACAGTGAAGCGGGTTCGCCCTGCTTGCTGCTGTCTTGTCTACTCTAACAAGGTATACAGATATCATGCCCACAGACAAGCAAGCAGCAAAGCACACCTGGCCTGCCTACCCTGACATACCCCAAAAAAAAAAAAAAAATGAGCAGGGTAAAACAAACATACAATCAATAAATACAGAAAACACCTTAATGTCTCAGAGACAGCAGACAATATCAAAACATATAAAAAAGCAGGACAGGATGGCTCTAGCAAGTGACCAAAATAAAGAATAAGATGACCTTTCAGCAGAAAACAAGGCAGTGAAACTACCTGACATGGAATTCAAAAGACTATTATTTAGGGCTCTCCAAAAGATTAGGAAAGAGATCAAGGAAAACACAAACCAAACCAAGGAAAAAACAGACAAAATCATGGAAAATACAGACAAAAACATAGCCAAAATCAAGGAAAATACAGACAAAGCAATAGAAAAATCCAAGAAAATAATACAATATCAAAATGGCAAAATAAATAATTAGAAACCATACAATAACAGCAACTAGAAATCCAAAAGATAAACAACAAAATTTCAGAAATGAACAACTCAACACAAGGTTTTAGGAACAAATTTGAAACAATGGAAGGCAGAATCAGTGCAATTTAAGACAAATCCATGGACGTCATTTTTCTTAAGGAAAAGTCAGAGAAAAGAATGAAGAAAACCTAAGAATTATTTGGGACACAATCAAGAGTAAACATTTTGCACATTACTGGAGTTCCAGAACAGGGGAGAAAATGGAAAGCGCAGAGAAGACTGTTGAAGATTTACTAACAGAAAACTTCCCAAATATCAAGAAGGACGAAAAGCTGACCATCCAAGAAATTCGACAAACCCCACATAAGATAGACCCCAAAAGAAAGTCACCAAGATATATATCATAATCACACTTGCCAAAACCAAAGACAAAGAAAGAATCCTAAGAGCAGCTCGAGAAAAACGAAAAGTCACTTACAAAGGGGAAACAATACGACTAAACTCTGATTCCTTGGCAGAACTACGCAGACAAGAAGGCCATGGGATGACATATAGAAAACCTTAAAAGACAAAAACTGCCAACTAAGAATAATGTATCCTGTAAAACTCTCTCTCAAATACGATGGTGAAATTAGGACACTTCCAGATGAACAGAAATGAAAAGAATTTGTAAAAACAAAACCAAACTTACAAGAAATATTAAACGGAGTCTTTCGGTTAGAGAACCAACATCAGACAACATTCAGGGTCTAGGACACAGGACAGCATCAGCCAGATATCAACCTAGGTAAAGAACTCTCAAAACAAAGCTAGAAGACTTAAAACAAGGAAAAAAAGATGTCAATCTATAAATGATGACAACACAAAAACAATGAAAGGGGGAATAAACAGTATAGGTATAGAACTTTCAACTGGAAAGGAAGTCAAAAAGTGGTATCAAGTAATAAAAGACTAGTCGAAACTTAGTAAGATAAGGGTAAATTTCAAGGTAAACACAACGAAAGTTAACAAAGGTACTCATCAGAATAAAAAAGGAGAAAAACAAAGTCTCAGTAAACACAAAATCTATAATAACAAAAGAAAAGAAAATCCACAAACAAAAGAACATCAGCACAGGAAAGTAAAAGGAACAGAGAAAACATCAGCACAAAAAAAAAAAGGCACAACAATATAACAGCAATAAACTCATACCTATTGATAATCACACTGAATGTAAATGGCTAAAATGCACCTATAAAGAGACAGAGAGTGGCAGAATGGATAAAAAAACACAACCCATCAATATGCTGTCTACAAGAGACACATCTAAGACACAAAGACATAAATACATTAAAAAATCAAAGGATGGAAAAAATATATCAAGCAAACAGTAACCATAAAATTGCAGAAGTGGCAATACTAATCTCAGATAAAATAGACTTTAAGGCAAAATCAACCACAAAAGACAAGGAAGGACATTATATAATGATTAAAGGAACAATCCACCAAGAATACATAACCTTAATAAATAACTACGCATCCAACGACAAGGCTCCAAAATACATACAACAAACTCAAACAGCACTGAAAAGAGAAATAGACAGTTCCACAATAATAATAGGAGACATCAATACACCACTCTCAGGAAAAGACAGAACATCTAGAAAGAAACTCAGTAAAGATACACATGACCTAAAGGCCACAATCAACCAACTTGACCTCACAGCCTCCTGAACCGTGAGAAAATAAATTTCTCTTCCTTGAAACCACCCACACGTGGTATTTCTGTTACCGCAGCACTAGCATACTGAGAGAGAGATATTGGAAGGAAAAAAATAAAAAAGATATACCAGACACATACTAACCCAAAGAAAGTTGGTATGATTATATTAAGATTGGACAAAACACGCCATAAGGTAAATGCATTACTAGAGATAAAGCTCACTTCTCAATGATAAAACTTTCATTTTATAGGATGACATAATATACCATACTGATACAAAGATCAAAAACAGACAAAACCAATCTGTACTGTTTAGGGAAGTATACACAGGCCTACTGAGGAATGCAAGGGAATGATTACTATGAAAGGGGGCACAGTGGTTACCTCTTGCGGGGGGAAGCGGTTGTGATTGAGGAAAATGGAGAGTCAAGACCAGAACTTGGGTATTTCCAGATGATCTTCTACAGGGACTCAAGACACATCTAAACAAGCCTTTAAATGCCAGATATATACATGCTTGATACTTTGAAATGCCATTACTCTTCCCCACCATCACCATCATGGAAACAAATGCAATCTTATTAAAATGTGAACAAGATGAAAAATATTAATAATAAGAAAGAGAATAACATGTTGTGTAAAAATTTTTAACTGAGTAAATAAAAACTGGAATAGAAAGAAGACCTCAGTAACTTATAAACAGACTGTGAAAAAAACCTAAGAGGCATTTCTACAGATTGCCTTTTTGAATGCTAGGTAGGTGGTGATATTCCTATCTTAACGTTATAACATTTAGGTGGTTACATATTCTTCGAAATACTATTCCACAAAAACTTCAAGTACATTAACCAGCATATAAAATTCCAGAATAAAGTTAATGGTCCCTGATTTTAAAAATAATTTCTAATGCAGAAAGAAACAAATACAATGTCCTATAATTGTAAATTGCAAGTTAATATTTTCATAAATTTAAAAAAAAAAACGTATGTAAGTCCAAATCAGAACTGAGCTCTCTAATTCCAAGATGTTACAAGTCAAGAAGAGACTATTTAAACAATGCAAAAAAGAAGGCTAAGTCAGGGGAAAAGAATAACGTGAAGAAATAAATTCCAGAATTCTGTCCTACAATGTTATCTACGTGATCCTCAAAGTGTCAACTGATTTTTCTTTAATTCACAACTTCCTTTTTAAAACACAATTTCAATTTCTAAATTCAGTACTGCAGGCAGTCCCTGACTCATGAATGACTGACTGTTGTCTAAAACTTTATCTGTAGGTTACTTGTTTGAAATTTGAAAAACATTTTCCTACCAAAATATCTTCTGAGTTATGCCTAGGACATGCATATTATCCAAAAGTCGTCACTTGTGTTTGGGACAAATGCTAATTGGGACGGGACACTGGGACAACAGGCAGAAGCTGGAGCACAAAGCACTCATCTTCCTGGTACCAAATCACCAGTCCTTCAGTGGGATGGTGGGGAGGAACCCAGGAGGGTCCCGGAGGGAATCATCGGACCGTGGGTCCACTCCATGACTGCTTCTAGGAAGAGCCACTAGCTGGTGAAACCTGATACTGCTCCTGGCACTGCAACCCTCTTCTCTTCCTACCAAGCTTCTCTTCTCTTGGGCTCCTGCTGATGAGAACATAACCCTGTTGCCGCTGAGTCAATTCTGACTCATAGCAACCATATGGGACAGAGAAGAATTGCCCCATAGGGTTTTTCAAGGCTGTAAATCTTTACAAAAGTAGACTACCACGTTTTTCTCCCATGGAGCAGCTGGTACATTCAAATCACTGACCTTTTGGTTAGCAGCCGAGCACTTAACTTAATTGCACCATCATGGCTCCTATGATAACATAGTGGCAACCTTCTCTTCCCTCCTCTAAAGCCAGCACCCAGCTCACCTAAGGATTCCTCTAAGACAGTGATTCTCAACTGAGGCCAATTTTGCCTCCAAGGGGACATCTGGCAACACGTAGACATTTCTGGTTGTCACAACCTGGTTGAGGGGGTGAGGGAGGACCTGAATGCTACCAGCATCTAGTGGGCAGAGACATCCTACAGACCCCATAGCAAAGAATTATCCCATCTAGTATGGCAACAGTGTTGTGGTTGAGAAAACCAGCTCTAAGGGTTTATACTATTGGTTATAACAAGTAATTAGGCAATAAGTAAAAAAAGGCAGGCTGGGGAGTAAGGTGTGAATCAAGAGGGAAAGAGAATAATGAATGAGCAAAGACAAATCCCAAGAAAGTCAATAAGGAGGGAAGGGATTTCCTATGCTCATCCTGCCAGGGGGCAGCTTTTCTGAATGGTTATTTCACGCAAGGCATATATATGAGTAAGCATCTATAAACTAGGCCTCTTTATATACAGAACTTCCAAGTGAATGAAAAAGAGCTTTTATAAAAGCTGCCAGAACTGACCGTAGAGCGATAATCTTTCAATAAAATCGGATACTGTATTATTGCTTCAAAAGCCGACAATGTGATCTTGATAAATTCTTCTGACGCAGTCAGTCCTAGGAATACAGTTAATTATTACAGGTACTTATTTATACATTCTAAACCACAACATCAAAGTACTTCAAACAAAGACATATATCTCAGGGTATACTCACCTATGGCTCCATCTATGTTAGTCTCTCCTGAGTTGACTGATTTAATATGACTCTGTTAAAAAAATGAAGATTTTAATAAATGTGGGTTTCAAAATAACTCTGAAATAGAATATAGGTCATTACTGTTTTGCCTGAAATTGCACCTGTCATTTTTAATAAGTCATGGACAGTATTAAATACCGTACGCATACCATAAACATTTTTAAATAAGATTATATTAAATACGATACATAAATCATAAACTACAGTCATTTTAAAATATACAAATCACTATTAATGGTATTTAATGTTGGAATAAATTCAACAGTAATGTATATAAGCACAGAAAGGTCAACCTGCAAAAGGGAGGATAATCCAATTGATACATAACCATTTCCAATAATATCCCACACTTGTTCACTCACTAACTTGGAAATTAGTGAGAATGGCACTTGAGCAGGTGAAACTGTCCTCTCAAAGGAAAGTCAAGTCTCAGCTACCTAGAAGACAAGCTGCATCAGGACACATCAGTTTAGATCTCAAGGCCTGTCTTCAAATTCCACCGTTTTTCTTAGTCCTGCCTAGGTATCTCCTAGGAGCCCTGGTAGCACAGTGGTAAGAGCTCAGCTGCTAACCGAAAGGTCAGTGGTTCGACTACCAGCCACCCTGTAGAAGAAAGATGTGGTACACTTCTTCTGTAAAGATTACAGCCTGAGAAACCCTATGGGGCAGTTCTACTCTGTCCTATAGGGTCGCAACAATGGTTAGATAACCTCCTACCCTAACATCAACCCCATTATCTGTGCTCCCAAACAGCAGGCTCCCGCCGCCTCTGCAGGACTCTCAACACTGCTTTAGTGGCAGGCCTGAGCCGCTCAGCTGCAACTCCACAAGGCCAGAGCTCCGTGAGTGACTGTCAGTCCCCACCAACCGCTCAGGAGAGACCAGGTGCTCCGTGACCATGACCTGACGGAAGCAATCACTGCACGGCTCCAGTAGGCCACAGCACTGCATCAGTGCTATGCGGGGACACAGCAACAGAGTTGTTGCCCTTAGCTCACTAAGTAATACACGTGTAATATGTTATATATGAAAGCAAATAGTAAACATACACTATAAAATGATTCTGGAATAAAAAAATATATAAGCAAGCAATTAGCCCAGAGCAGGAAGTAACTCTACTATGATCCAGTAGTTGTACTTAAAATATTTGATAAATATAAAATATATGTAACATATACAAAACAACATATGTACATCATCTATGTTATAAAGCCTAAACAAGAGAACGCTTGAGCCCACCACTCAAGAACTACAGCATTACCCATTTCTTGCATGTGCTCCCCCCACCCCACCCACCTCCCTCTTCCCTGGAGAGAACTACCATCGTGAATTTATCATTTCCTTGTTTTAACAGCTTTACCACATATGCATGTGTCTCTAAGTAGTATATTGTTTGTTTGGGGTATTTTGAACTTTACTGAAATGACATCAAACTGTATACAATTCATATAAATGAAACAGTATGTAGCTATTAAAATGTTAAAAAATGAATTTTTTAATGATATGGGAAAATACTTACGATACAGTGTTAAATGGAAAAAAAGAACAATACAAATCTCTCTATATAGATACAGCAGTCTCAACCACATGTATTTGCATGTCATATAAATATGCGCTGTATTATACACACATAGTTTATTTTATATGCAAATGCACACATGTGAATAGAAAACACTATAAGAACACAATAACGCATTAACAATGGTTGTCTCTGAGTGTGGCATTGAGGGTGACTTTATTTTCTTCAAATCTCACTATAATTTTCCATAATTTTATGAAACAAGCATGTATATAATTTAAATAAGCATATTTACCTTAAAAAAGGAGGAAATCTTTAAATAAAGACATTTAGTGTCTCAGTGTAAAGAAAATCAGAGAGCCTAGAAAGCACAAGCTCTTTGAAAACTGAAAATACAGAGTACTTTCAATTCTTTTGTTCAGCCTATGAATAAACAAAAAAAGACTTAAAAAGGCAATGAAAGCTTTTCATGATAATCTGGCTGAAATAGCTGGTTTCACAAAATTCCAAAACGGGCACACAACTTTGGTGGAATAAATTTGGATTTGATGTTGAATTTAAAAAAATCACAAAGAGATGTCCGTTGATGCAAATAAATCTACTTAAAACTAGGAAGAAACAACAGTGTGTATATTATGATCCTTCCTGTGAAGTTTTTCTTTTAAAGAATATACAGATCCTACACGAATGCTGGTAACGGGAACAACAATCTTCCAGGAAGAAATCCCAGGAAACCACTAGCAATGGTTCCCTTTGGGGAGAGGGAATGCTGAGACGGGAGGTGTGCTTCCACTTTTCATTTTCTGCTTTCTGTACTGTTAGAATTTTCTAACCATGCACATATATATGTATTTTTTAATGTCAACAAGGGTTATCTAGATGGTGAAATTATGGACTTCTTTGTACTTACTTTCTTCCTCATACTTTCCCTATTTATAGAGAATCCCTACTGAACGTTGCATTGATTTATCAATTTTAATGTCTTCTGATATATTTCTTCTTTATTCACAGTATAACAGGGAGTAATCAGGTGAGGGTGAGGATGGGGCGGGAGGCATTGGAGATTCAAGGACAAAAGAGAAGGTAAGAATAGTCATCTAGGTGACCATGAGGTATATAGATCAGGAGAATGAGTGAGATAATACAGTCTGCAAAGACAGCTCACTTGAGATGAGCAATTGTGAATTTAAGGTGACACAAATGATTTTCATTGCATTTTTCTCTAGCCATGTTTAAACTTAGCCTCTCAAAGCAGGGGAAGAGTATGTGGAGAATTAAATTTAACCAGGATTATGGTTTGGTAGTAGAGGAAAAAGGAGGAAGAGAGAGACAAGGTAGTTACGGGTATATGCAAGGCTAGACCGGCGACTCCAAGCTAAGCAAAGTGAAACTTGAAGAAGTAGGCCCATGGGGGCGGGAGGAGACAGTGGATGAAAAGGTGGTAGAACTAGTGTAAGTCTCCAAGGAAGTGCAGGGATCCTGGACTTGGGGAGCAGAGGAAGTGAGTTGGAAATCAGAGGTGGTAGTCAGACAGTTGGAGTCCCTGGGTGGTGCAAACGGTTAACATGCTCGGCCGCTAACTGAAAGGATGGCAGTTCTAGTCCACCCAGGGGCTCCTTGGAAGAAAGGCTCGGCAATATACTTCTGAAAAATCAGCCACTAACAACCCTGTGAAGCACAGTTCTACACTGACAGATACAGGTCACCAGGAACTGAAATCAACTCAACACCAACTGGTTTTTTTTTCTTTTAGTCAGATAGCAGGAAGCTGAAAATAAGGTCATGAGTCTGATCATGGGCGTGGACAACTAAGGAATGGGGCAAGAGAAGCTCACAGGGAAAGTGGAGGTGAAGGAGCTGAGAGGCTGAAGTGTTGAAAGGCTCTTCTGCAGGGATATCAGACTCTCCAAGAATGATGATAGGAGCAGCATCCAGAGACTGACAGTGAGCCCAGTGCTGAGTAATTCTGAGGAATGAGGGGCAATCACACAGAAGTCTGCAGATGACTACAGCCCGGGGGTAACACGGGATATCTTCTGATGGCACAAGCTTCAAAGCTGGGGCTTTAGCAGAGAAGCAAGAGGATGAGGCAGAAAACGGCCCCCATCTGGAGGGTAAAAGTAAAGCTGTGCCTCTAGGGAGGGTCAGTGCTCTTCAGTATATGCAATATGCCCTCAACGAAACTAAAAATAAGCTCCTGTAGCAAGTATATGAATTCATGGTTTGTTAGAGGGAGGGAAGGAAGGAAGGAGGGAGGGAGAGAGACAGAGGAAAGAAGGGAAGGGAGGAAGGGAGGGAGGTGGGTGGGCAGGCAGGTGGACACACAGACAAAGAGCGCATATTTGTGTGGTAACAAATAAATATAAAGTATCATACTTAAAAATATATGAGTACCCTCTCTCTCAAACTGCTTCATCTACAACAGAAGTCAATTTAACAAGCCAGCATTCACATATAATAAAAACATGAAGAGGGCAAGAAATGTGTCCTTTCTTTTAAAAATTATCTTAATGTCTAAGATACGTAGCACATATACAATAAAGGTGAAGTAAAGATTTCTTAAAGATGAAGATTATATTCTTGTATGAAAATCTATCAGAATAATTTTATCATCCAGCTCATTAACAGCGCTGTTCAAAGGATTAGGGTGGGAAACCTTAAAATGAAATCATCCCCTGAAGTCATCTCTAAACCAAACAATAGTTTAGCTTAATTAGAAAAAGAATGTCTGCTTTGAGCATTGTGCTCTTTTAAAGAATTATTTATATATGATCAAATTGACAACAGCATAGAAAGGTTAGATGAAAAGCTTAGGGGGCAATGAATTCTGTTAACGATTGTGAAATAATTTGGAAAAAGGTATCAGGAAAGGTGGCACAACCTGAAGAATGTAACCAATGTCACTGAACTGTACATGTAGAAACTGAATCAGGTGTATGTCTTGTTATATACCATTTTTACCAAAAAATTTTTTTAAAGGACTGGGGCAAGGAGGAGGGAGACAGGAGAGGAAAAAAAAGCATAGGAAATAATTCTTGCCCTTGGAAAGCTTATATTTGGAATAGACAGTGGTGACGGTTGCCCAATGTGGCAAATGTATTTAATGTTACTGAACTGAATTGTACACTTAAAAATGGTCGAAATGGCAAATGTCTTATTATATATATATTCTACCACAGTAAAAAACGGTTAAAATGACAAATGTTTTGTTATATGTATTTTACCATGAAAAATTTTTTAAAAAAGAATGCTATAAGACATTAAGAAGTATAAAGTGACATTGCATGAATGAGATGTAATAAACGGCATTTTTCTTTCACTAGAAAATTGGAATTGTGATGCTTTTTTGTAGAAAAATATAACCACTACACAGCCATTGCACTTTTATAAACTAATGAGGCCAGAACTTAAGAACAAACATAACAAAATCCTCTTCCTCAATTCATTAATCAAGCAGCATTTTGAAAAGGGCACAAGAAACACAAGGTACATTAGGTTAATACACATCATGAGTTCCCTAACATATTTTCTTGAAGTCATAACATCGTGTTTTCCAGCCCAACTCAATAGAAGTCCAAAGGAACGATGATATTCACCATAGAATCTCCCCATAAGCCTTCCCCAGATACGTCACTGCAAAAACACAGAGAGGGAGGTAGACATGATGATATGCCGCCTAGGCTGATAAGAAGTGAAAACAGCAACTGGCAGCTAGGTAGTCCTCTTTTGCCTAGAGCCTTTGAAAGCTTGATAATAGTTTAAAGATTTCTTGCTAAATTATTTCCAAACACTAGTCTTTTTTAAAACATCAAGACCAAAACTTTCTTTTACCAGGGAAAAAAGGTTTTACAAAACGTTAATTCCTATAGTTCATCCCTCCAAATATTAAAAAGTATCCTGAATATCTCTACCAAAAAAATTTTTTTTAAAGATGTCTATGGGTCAAACAGCAAACCATTCCCTGGTGCCGCTATGAAGACTGAAGCCAAAGGGAAACCCAATTCCAGTCCCCCTCCAGCCTGCTCCTTAAGGACCCTTTTAATGAGCAGAGTTCAAACAAACCCTGACCTCCAACTCCCCACCCACCTCGATGTAGGACAGCAGCTACTGAAGCAATGCCTTAGCAAGAAGCCCAGGATGCCCTTGGCAACCTCTTACTGCTACTGCATATACCTACTAGAGGCCCAGGCTTGAAAACCTCAAATTAAGGAGTATTTTTAAACTACAAAAGGACCACATATCTGCCATAATGCAGTAGCTACTCTACCAGATAAATTCCTAAAAGTATTCAAAGTATTTTTTTATCTCCAAATGGACCGATAAGGCTTTCAAGGCACAACACTAAGTATGTAAGTATCAACGGACTGCTCCCTCGCATCACCAGACAGAAGCAGCACTGAAAACCACAAGTGCTCTGGACAGGTTCACAAGTCCATGTTCTGGGGACTGGTCTACAGAACGTGTACAACAGCTGTACAGTCAAAACTAAATTAATAAGTAAAATCTCAAATAAGCTTAGGAAACCTTCAATTATGCAAAATTAAATATTCTTTTAAAGCAGGAAAGTCAAGAGGCTTTAATATGCTCATCTGCAGTGTAACTTTCTAAGGTGCCGTGGGGTACTAGATGAGTTGGCTGTGCCTCATGGCCTCAAGCAGGGCACTGTGACATAAGTATTATCTTTGGCATCTCCTGGATAAAGTATGAGTCAACTCAGAGAAGCAACATCCAGCGCTCAACAGTTCACAATAATGTGCACAAGTGCTGTGTGGATGACCGAATCCAGGTCCTGAATTTTAGTTGATAACTCTCTATCTTCCCCAGTATTTCATTACTGCCATCAACACTGAGCATAAGAAAGGTGAGTTCACACGTAAGGTCAAAAAACAGATAGGATAAGGAAAATAATGAAAGAATTCTGGGAACTAGCCATGACTCAAACAAGGAAAACAGCCTGAAGGGAACCAAGAGATCTTCTTCCTTTCATTTGGCTTAGCTCCCTCCACTTGGGAAAGGTTATTGAAGAAAAAAAACTACTAAAGATTTTTTTAATGTATCAAATGACCTTTGAACCAGCAAGTTATTTCCCATTCCCTAAAAGTGACTACATCGAGAAGACCCTACAAACGCCTCTCCCTCTCATTGTCACCCCTCCCACCAAAGGGTAGGCTGACTCCAGAGAGAAGGTGGGGAGGCCCTTCCTCAGTGTAGCCTCCTCCCTTGTCTCTGAGCATGGCTTTGCCAGGAGCAAAACACATACGTATACTTCCCGAAAGTCCATAAAGACATTTATGTTGGAGACACTTGGCAGTTCCTCGAACACCTGAAGGGTACTCAGTAAATGTAGGCAGAGAAAGGTAAGGCAAATGAGAAAGAAAGAAGAGGTGGAACACAGGACAAACATACCTATTCCTGTACAAAAAAACTCTATGCCAAAATATTCCAAGGTGGACTGCAAGGCCAAAATCACTGTGTTCAGGCATCAATATGTCAGTGCAAGGAATTATAAATGCAGAATTATAATCATGCTAAAATGATGTCCAGAATGCCAAGTAAATTAAAAATGGTTCTAAATGAATTCCCAATAACTTGCAAATTCATGAATGTGCTACCAGAATTATATATTTTCTAGAATTCAGGATTTGATGTGCCCAAATGATAAAGATGTGAAATTGAGCCCAAAAGGACTTCTACTGCGTTACCTGCACACACTGCTTCCTAACAGACGGGGACTTACACTCCACATTTGTGCTTCAAAACATCATACTGTGTCCTATGATGAGCCTTCTAGAAGACTATGTTCTCACTTGTCAGTGGTAATCATTTTTTAATTTCACGCTAACAATAAAATCGAGATGCTTACTTCATTTTAACTAGAGACCTCCATGGCATTTCTGAAATCTCAACTGAGAGTTTATTATTAATATCAAAGAGAGACTGGAGATGCAGTGTGACAAATGTCTCAGCTTTCCCTTTTCTATAGCTCACCACTTTATCAACCACGTATCCTGCAACTATTCCAGGCAAGGGAAAAGCATAACATAATTCATGAGTGATAATCTGAACAAAAAGTCTATTTTTTGTGAGCAAAGATTAAGAGATTGTATAAAGATTTGTTTTTCACTGCTACCCTTTCATCCAAATTTAAGAAAAAAAAAATTAAGTTGAGCTTAACTTAGAGAAATGTCATTATAAAAAGATACTGCACATGACTTACAATGTAAGCCAACATAAATAATAATGATAAAATATTCTTAGCATGCAAGTTTCACTAGCTTTATTATTTAAAATTTTTTCATGATTTTTAATACCAAAATCTCTGAAAATGTTTCTGTGGAATTATTTACCCTATTTGGGGCTGTCTCTGAACAAAATACATTATCAGAAGAGAATGTATTTTTCTCCAAATGTCAAATTTTATTACAGTCAACAGATAAAAATATAAAAAGGTCACTCCCTAGAGACAAATAAATACCACTAGGATTTTACAATTACCTCATCCTGACACCAATTCCACAAACAGTAGAGACAGTCACATTTTTATGAGGAGTGTGAAAAATTCAGTGCTACTTACAAGAATAGTTCCATAACTGAAAAGGAACTCCTCGGTTACAACTTGAGGTCGAAATACCTGAAAGATGAGAGTTACCACAGATTAAATCTTGAAAGCCATGTACAATTTTAGTTCAAGAAAAAGAAAAAAAAATGACAATGCTTTGTCAGAATTAACGTTCTGGAGCTCCAGTTTATAAAGAAAGGGGCCAGATTTGTTGTTTTTTTTTCCTAGTAAAAAAGTACCTGAGAAGTTACCAGGTGAAGCACAACAGGCATCAGGGGGAGACAGATCTTCAGCTGCTTCACTTGCACCGTTGATGGGTGTTTACGGCCAGAAACGTTAGCCAAGGCATTAAGAATGTCACCTGTGAAGCATACCCCACCCAGAGTATGGATAAGGTTAACGACTGCAAATACCATCGTGGTTACTAAAATACTAACGGGGTTGCTGAGGCAAAAAAAAAAAACAAAAAAGGAAGTGGGTAGAATCAGAAGCAGTTTATTCACAATTATTAAAGTTATACCAGTTGCGGCCTCTTAGGACAGAATGTGATATTTTGCATATACATTATTAATTAACTTGACTTCTCACCTAGAAATTTATAAATGGTTACGGTAGAGTGGTGCTTTTAAATTTTTTTTTCTTTTTAATATATTTTCCAAATTTCAGCTAGAAGCACTTATCACCACTGTAAGCAGGAAAAAGTTATTCAAAAAGATGGTAAATGAATAGATTATAAATCACAACTTTTTTGAAAAATAGAAAAGCATGGAAGTACAGAGAGATCAATTCCCAAAACTTCTTGAATGCTTTCGTTAGGAAGAAAACTTGCGTTGTAGACATCAGAATCTTACAACATCCTAAAACAGAATGCCTCTGATAATAAGGAACTCAACTATCAATAGACTTGATTATGATCTTTAGGATGGAGTTAAAAAATAGTTACAATCCAAAATAAGTTTTGAAATGCTCTCTTTTCAGGCATTAGCAGGCAAAAAAATCTCCCAAAAGTATCAGTACAGAGCAAAAAGGTACTGTAAATCAGCCAAGAAAGTATTTTCATTAATTTAATATTCTGAATTCCTGAATCTAAGCGTATTTTACTAAAATGTCTTTGATCAAATTTAACGCTTTAAACATTTCTGATTTATAGCTGCATCCGCTCGAAAAGCAGGGAATGGGATTTAAAGCAAATGCACGTATTCCTAGATTATTTTAATTTTCGCAAGTAACAAAATAAGGATTTTTTTAAGTTGTAGTAAACATCCTTTGCAAATCATTATTAGATATTTTATCCCAAAGACAATTTTCCAAACTAAAGAAATTTTCAAACTTAAAACTTTAAACTAGTATCAAAATTATTTAACATTAAATGTTAATGTTTATACATTTTAAAAATTCTTTTAACAATAAATACATTTTGTAGCTCAAACTTGAAGAGAAAAAAAAATTCCTTCGGAATTAGGCAGGGAGAAAACTTAGAAAAAAATACCAAAAACAACAGTGAACGTACAACTTTAAGCAATTAAAACACTTTCCTTTTGTTTATTTTTCAAAACAGCCAGTTTACCACAGATAACATGTCACTGTAACCCGTGGCCCGCTCTCTACCTCAGTCATTTCACCAAGGCAAAATAATTATAAAGGCAAAGAAGGCAAAGTTGAATCTTGAAACTACACATTCAAGAAAAGGTGTTATTGCATTTGCCTGCAATTACAGACAAGTGTAAGAATAAAAAAGAGGTGAAGCCAAGCTGCAGAAAGGTAAGCAGCAATGGGGCCTGCGGATGAGCCTCCAATTTACCCAGGATTCGTGGCAGTTCCTGCACAATGTGACGGATGAGGAGGTCCAGGCACTTGGACAGGTACTCATTGCCGCTCTGCTGCTCCTTGCCCGGAGTGGTCTTTCTGCTGTCTCTCTCGATGTACATCACCAGTCTACAAAGAGGAAAGTGCAAAAGATTACCTCTCATGATAAAACAGCTGATCGCATCTGTCTGAAAACGTCGCGGAGTCAAGTGTTTCCAGAGGGCACAGTCCCAATTATGGTGACATTTCCATTTGTAGCAACTTGTCAGACACAGTCAATTTTTGCCTTAGAAAAATCGAAACGTTTATGCAGGAAGAAAATAAGGCAACTTTGAATCTCCCTGCCAATGTACTGTAGAACAAAACGCCCTGATTTCATTTGCCTTTAGCCAATGAAAAGAAACAACATTCTCCGGATGATGGATGAAAGGCCAATAGAGGCATCTGGCCAGAAAAGGGCTCTTGGTGTTTCAAACATTCAAACTCGAACCACAAGTTGATTGCATTTTTGTTGGTCACTAGTATTAAACTTGCTTGGAACCTAAGGCAATTCACATGAATTCTAGTTCCTTCAGTAAATTGTGTACATAAATCCAAACAAAAAGTTTTGCTCTAACACTGGGTTACATATGGATTTCATACGCCCCTTTGACTACTAGTTATATGATATCTGTCTTTTAAAAAGGACTTATTATTAATTCTTCAAACCACTGGCATTCATTAAACATCAGTCTCTAACCAAGTATTTCCAACCCAGAACTAGGAAACACACTGGACCATCACCCCTAGATACTGAGGGAGTGGTTTAGGTCCTCCCCACATATCCCCCCCAACTTTGCTGGACAACCAGCCAGTCATTTTCCCAAGTTCTCATTCCCCTCCACTCCCTAAAGGACAATGAGCACACAGACCCATCGTGCAAAAGCCCCGTCATAGAAGTCTCTGTTTGCCATCGATCATCTCGCCAGTCCTGCTGTACTCACTTTACCCACCTAACTTGTTACTTCTTTCTCAGAGAGAACCTCTACCCAACTCCCACTGTAACTGGAAAGAGGTGGTTCTGCACATAGTACATGTATACTGGAATCTTAGCACATAGTATTCATGTGGCTCTCTTCACTGTTTTATTCATCTATTTGCCTTTCTGTTTACTATTATTTGGAGTCTTATTAGTGAAAACATGGGGATGAAACCAAATCAGCAGTTCAAGTTCCTTATCAGCTAGTTAGCGCTGTTGGTTCTAGCCACTGACTATAGCCCTAGCCATACTCTAACAAGTATATGACACTGGTCAAAATGCACACATAATACTGATAAATCAATAGAAATGTATCACTACTACTTGTAAAGAACTGAGAACACATAACTTTCTGAAAAAAAAACCCAAATCCACTGCCGCTGAGTCAATTCCAACTCATAGTGACCCTATAGGACAGAGTAGAACTGGCCCATAGTTTCCAAGGTTGTAAACCTTTACGGAAGCAGACTATCACATCTTTTGCCCATGGAGCAGGAGGGTTCGAACTGTCGACCTTTTCATTAGCAACCAAGCACTTTAACCACTGTGCCACCAGAGCTCTTTAACTTTCTGATAATGAGTAAGTAAGAGAAGAGTGAGACTCTACCATTTCATAGGTAGAATCAAAAAATTTCAGACATATAAGATATGATGAAATGACTGGGACCAGCCTATCAACCAGCCAGCCTAGAGGTACAGCACAACCCAAATCCCACCATCACTGTGGCCTCCTGGAACTTTCAAGAGAATGGCAAAAACTCTAAGAACCTTCTGATTAGTTGGTACCTGTTCCATCAGCCCAATCTAAGGCACAGGACCAGAAGTGATCAGAGACATGGGTACCTTTCATCCTTTCCTGCTTCCCAAGATGTGATGTCTACCATCTCACCATATGCACGACAGCTTTTCCGAAATTAAAGATTATTGCACTTAACTTCATCCCATCCAACGTAAGTATTTCATATCCTGCTCTTGTTCCTACTTGCTCATTCAAGTACTTCCACTGTGACAGTTCCTCAATTTCCTGGGAACTTCCACTAATTGACTCTATGATATTTTCTCCCAATCCATCAGCCCTGTGTTGTCTTTACTTCCTTCCTGACCTGGCTTATATTCTACCATCTATCATTTGATTACACAATTGGCCCTCTTTTTTTTTTTTTCCTTGCATCCATCTAGCAAAGCAAACTCTGGGAAAACCCAATGATCTACTTTCAGTATGCCTGCGGAGACAACTGCTGAAGCAAGGCACACACGGGGCAGATTCACACATTTATATATGCATGATACCAATATCGAATGGCCCAGAACACTTCCAGCAACCCAACTCTACTTCTTTCATCAACTTATCCCCACAGTCTAAATGATTATTTCATATTTTTCTTCTCTTCAAACTCCCAGTCTTCCATCCTCTCCTGAGACTCTCTGTAATCTTGCCTCCTTTAACAGAGAAAATAGAAAGCACCAAACAGAAGCTCCTTTCTTCCTAATTCCCAATAAGCACACCTGCTGACACCTACTCTCATCCTCGCTTCCTCCTCTCCTTTCACAACAATGAACCTAACCCTCCTTCCACCTGTGCTTTGAATCCCATTCCCTTCTACCTTCTTAGAACTGCCAGTTACTCATATTTACTCATTTATTTATACACTCATTCTCTTCCATTTAACAAAACAACCACACACAAAACAAACATGCTCTTCTAGCAAACTCCCTCTTTTTTGTCTCCTCTAATTTATTAAAAGAGAAATTGATACTTATTGCTTCCACTTTTCCTTCTACTTATTCCTCAACCCACTGCAATCTGGCTTTCACTCCTATCAGTTTCTCGAAGGTCACTGAAAACCTACAGGACATCAAATCCAATGGGCGTTTTCCCACCTTCACCTATCTTGACAACTCAGCATCATTCAGTACTGTTGGCACTCCCTCCTCCTCTGTTTCCTTGGCTACCATAACACCATACTTTCCTAGTTTTCTTCTCCGGTTTCTCTGATTGTTCTTTGTGTATTTTGCAAGTTCATGCTTCTAAATGTTCATCAAAACTCAGCATTTACACATATATACATTACTTGTCATTTACACATATGTCTTCCAACTACATATCGGCAGCCCAAACCCAGTTTTTAAGCTGTTGTTGGTTGCCACTGAGTCAATTCTGACTCAAGGTGACCCCATTTGTGGGTGGCACAAATGGCTAAGTGCTTGACTTCTAGCCAAAACGGTGGCAGTTCAATCTGCCCAGAAGAGACTCAGAAGAGAGGGCTGGCAGTCTACTTCTGAAAGGTCACAGTATCTAAGCTACAGAGCTAGGTATTCAAGTGATGACTTGATGCCTACTTTTGTCTCTCAAAGGCACTTAAACCCTATATATCCAAAATAAACATCATCATCCCACCAAATCTGGTTGTCTTTCAGAGTACAGTATCTCACTGAATAGCATCACTCTATATTACACAAACCAGAAACCAAGAAGTTATCTTTAATATCTCCACTTCTTTCACTTTCCATATCAATTCAATCATTACATATTTCTGGTACTCTTCTACTTCTTAGCTCCTAACCAAGTGTAAGCTACCATAATTCCTCTCCAGGACTACTATGAAAACCTCCCAAGTAGTCTATGTGCTTCCACTCTGTCTTTCTAACCCTCATGCATCCTACATCTAAACTGATCTTGTCCATCAAGTTGCTTCTCTGTTGAAAACCCTTCAATAGCATCCCACTGAACTTAATATGGGAATTCTTAAAACTCCTTATCATGACCTACGAGGCCTACCTCCCACTATGTCTCTAGACTCATCTTGCTTTCTCTCTCCTCCAGTCACACCATCCTCCCTTCAGTCCTTCAAACTCAATACCTCTTCCAGCAACAAAATATTACTTCTGTCTGCCTGACTGGCTCTTCTCTCCCTCCTTGCTACTGAACTCCTATTCATCTTATAATTCACTGCAGTTTCCATGACTTCCTTAAATTAAATTCCTCCGTGATACTGTTTCATAGCATAGAATACTTTAAGGCACTTACCCAACTGTAATTTTATAATATATTTTTGATTCTTTGATAATGTTTGTTGCCCCAGTAACTTTAAAATACCTGAGGACAAGGACTGCATTTGCTTTTGCTTGCCATAGCATCTTTCCACTTCTGAGCACAGTTCCTGACACCAAATAAGTGTTCAATAAATATTAGCTGAATAAATACATACTGCTGTTGAAACTTCCCTAAGGATCTACCTAGTTCTCTACAGCAGTTCCTTGGTCCTTATTTTTCCCCCAAGGCGCTTTTCTTAATTCTACTGTTAGATGTGTGTTGGGTGTTCCTTGATATTTATATCAGTGTAGTACATAAGAAGTTAAAAAAAAAAAAAGTCTACATGGGGAAAAAATACCATAAACAAAGTCAAAAGACAAATAACAAACTGGGGAAATATATTTCCAATTCAGATCACAAAAGGCTAATACAATTTGTGTGTGTACCTCCCATATATTGATTACAGAAAGATTAACACAACCCAAGAGAAAAGATAAGGAAAAGGCAGCACAGAACTAAGACAATCGTTCAAACAATAGGATGCTCCACTTTGCTCATAGTAAGAAAATATACACTAAAATTACATCTTTTTTCTCTCTCAGACGGCCAAAATTCTGAAAGTTTGATAACTAAGACTGCCATATACCGATACTCTGTTACTGGTGGGAACGGAAGTTGGTACAAATCCCACAGAGAGTCAGTTAGCAGTATCTTTAAAATTATAAATCTAATAATTTCACCTCTAGGAAAAACTCTATACTTGTATACTCATATTTTGTTGTTTATAACAGCAAAAAACAAGTGTCCGGCAAAAGAGGACTAGTTAAATGAAATATGGCACATCCTTACAATGCAGCTATCAAAAAATGGAGGGGGAAGGAAGCTCTCTATATACAATATGCAAAGAACTACGAAATGTTTTCTTCAGTGAAATAAGCAAAGTTCAAAAACAATATGCTTTTTGTGGAAAAAAACACATTTGCGTGGAGATGAAAACAAACTCTAGAAGGATATAAGCAACTAATAATAATGCTTAATTTTGCATTTGGTGACTTGGAGCAATGAGGCAGAGGTAGA